CTAATTTGTTCGAGGAATTAGCATCTCCTTTTTCCTTTTCCAGTGCCGTCCAAATTCAATTTAATTCAGTTCTAAAATATTTTATTGACCCCATCCCTAATTAAATGTAGTTGTAACTCTTAATGTTTTTATTTCATCATGGAAGCATATGCTAAAGAAGCCTGTTTTTACTGCAGATCTGAAGAAGGCTTTTACAACAGTATTGTTCAAAAGCCTTCTGAAGAGGATGCTCAGTGCTGTTTAAATATTCTTAATTTTATGAAGAATATTTTTTGTGAAAACAGAATATCTTAAAAGCCAGAATATATTAGTTGTTAAATCAGAGCAGTGAAATAGTAAGCACACACTAGCAACTCAGTTACACCGCTTTAATATTTTGCCTGCATTCTCTGTGTGTTAAAGGTGTTTTTTTTTTTACTCCCATGTAAAGTACCAATAAATGTGCATTCTCAGTTTGTGACACCAAAGAAATAATATAATTTCTATTAATCAACCATCCACATCTGAAAGATCAGAAACACAACGAGGCACATAAAATAGCCTCATTTCTGTCTGTCTGTTTTTTTCAGTCCTTCCTCAAAATATTTTTTGCACCTGTTTTGATTACATGGCATAAATATTTTTGTTTATACTGGTTGTATTGCAGAATTATCAGTAGTGTCTAATTGAATGTGTTTGTTAAATGTATTTAACAAACACTGTTAAATACAGTGTTTGTTTTTTTTACTTTTTCAACCATCTTATACACTTGTCTGTCAAGTAAGAGTCTGAGAATAGACTTATAAATATTAGTATTAGTAACACCCTGTATTTACACATCCATCAACTTAGCAGTGAAATCTAAACTATTCCCCAACTTTAGTTCCCACTTCAGTGAACACCAACGTTTATATTCTTTTTTGAATGCTATTTTTTGGTGCTTTTCTTTGCCCTTGATTTTTTAAATTTGTATTTCTTTTGCACTTCAGTTGGGCATTGGAATCACTCTGCTCTATTCTTTGGTTACTTGTTGCATGCATGGGCAACATTGTGTCTCCAGTCATTTGGTCTTATTATGGTAAATTTCTCTAAGAAGTGTTTTGTTTACTAACAAAGCAAAAATAATGTTAAACGCACCAAAAAATCATAAGCATACAAGACATAATAATGTAGTCAGAGCACCTTTGCATGCAACCAGAGTAAAGTACTGGTGTAGAGATTTGTAAAGTCATAGTGTGTGACTAGAGCCCTTTTAGAGTATTTTGTATAAATTACAGAGTCAAATATAGCCCTCTTGGCATTTCAAAAAGAGGGCTCTATGCCTGAATAAAAACTGCTTTGTTCTTGCTGGTGATACTACTACTTTACAATAAAAAGGTAGTTAATTACATTCATTAATGGGCAGGGTAACATTTTCTTGCAGGGCTATGTTGGTTTGGATAACATGTTTTCTTACAGAAAAGCAGCTTCTAAAGACTGTTTTTTACACTGGTTATTTTTGTGTGATCTTACAGTTTATGTTATGTTAATCTGAAACAGACTTAAAAACACAAGAATAAGTCACCTGTATGGTTGCCCAGACTTTTTCCAGCACTATGAATACCAAAGAGCACATCTGTAAGATGTATATCTTTTACTTATTTGTGATATTTTTCCATTTATCTCTCAGGTTGTGTCCATGGGTCTATATCTCGGGGAAACAGCATATCTGAGGAGCAGCTGGAACATCCTGGATGGTTTTCTGGTGTTTGTGTCTCTCATTGATATTGTAGTGTCAATGGCAGGAGGTGCTAAGATTCTGGGGGTTCTCCGTGTACTCCGGCTGCTGCGGACACTCCGACCTCTTAGGTTAGAGTAATAATAGTCAAGTTCCAGTGTTTATAAAAGCATTCGCCATTATCAGTTCTTGTCGATAATTTAGCTGTTAAAAACAGACTCTTTGTTGCTTTAACACAACAGAAAGGCAGGCAAAAATCTTGCTTAAAAATGTATAATAAAAAAGAAAAACATTCAACGGAACCCGGTCTCTCCAAGTAGTTGCCAGGCAACATGCTGAAACCCCAACTACTGTTCCCAGACAAGCAAAAATAGTCTGGGACCTAACCCTCTGTCAGCAAAGGAGCTATCTGCCCATCCATCTATTATCTTTACTCAGTTAATCCTTTTCAGGGTCATGGAGGGCCTGGAACCTGTCGAGCTGACTCTAGACAACTGTCAGGGTTCAATCTGGACAGTCCATCAGAGGCTCAACACAGAAAGAGTGCTCTGACTCAGTAGAATGCTGTTAGTTAGCTGTTTATTTTAAGCATCTTTCCCCTCCCCTTAACTTCCTCTTTGTTACTGATGTCAGAGTGCAATAGAAAACAATCTCTAAGCTTCTACCTTTTTGTAACAAATTCTAAAACCTATTGTGGGACAATAAATTTTCTATTCTATTCTTCTATTCTAAAATCTTGGATTTTTTCAGATGATCACGCAACATGAGTTTTATTGCATTTTCAGGGATTATTTTTTGTGGCATCCTATACAATGCAAGTATAACCTTTTTAAGTATTTTAACTGTAGTATTAACCCTAAAGTTAGAAAAGTTTGTAGTTTTTTTTTTAACGTTTATCTGATTGCTGCTATGGTATAAAATTTCTTGAGCTACTTGCTGTATTCCTAGAATACCTTGTTTTCCCTTTTTTGACAGTTGCTAACAAATATGGGATATTTTTCCATATGATTGAAATTTAAATTCTTATTGTAATCGATTATTATTAAAAAAATTATGCCCAATGTGAAGAATATTTTTTTTTTTTTATGTACTAAACCTTTTTAAACATATTTTCCAGTAATGACAATAAAGGTTTAAGCATGTTTTTGCATCTATTTTATTTTAGATTGAAGGATATAGGTTTATGACCGTTTTAAAAAACATCTTTACATAGTTTGGTAATTTGTTGCTATGAAAGTAATTGTATGTTAAACTGTTTAATTATTAACAATCCTTTACTTTGAAAAATCAGGTTTCATGCTGTCTCTTTTTCTGTGTGAATGTATCTTTGGTCTTTGTCTCACTTGTTTTCTCTGTGCCTGCCTTTGCACCGTTCACAGGGTTATCAGCAGGGCTCCAGGACTGAAGCTGGTGGTAGAGACACTAATTACTTCTCTGAAACCCATTGGCAACATTGTTCTTATTTGCTGTGCCTTTTTCATCATCTTTGGGATTCTTGGAGTTCAGGTATAAAGAAGATTTTTAGAAGTATCACAGTGGTGTTTCAAAATAAAATTGACTGTCTTACTGATATAGTATTTTAGTTTAGGCTATAGGTTTGTAAGCAGTATTAATGCAATGAAACAACATATTAATGAATACATATATGAAATATATGGGCTGGTTTTGCTCTTTTAAGTGTTTACAAATGAATAATAAGAAAAATCAAAATACAACGCATAGATGCCACCTGTGACAAGATTATGTTATAACACCAGACCAGCAGTAAAAGGAGGATTCAAAACAAGTTCACATAACGTGCCTGAAAGTCAAATCAAATATTGAAAGATATGTATGACACTACAAATTGAAAAAAACAATTGTTTCAACACATTTAACTGTACAACTGCTACCATTGTAAAACAATGGCAGCTTTGTCTAGTACGATGGAATATGCCTCAATGTAAAGTGAACTTGATTTGTCGCAAAAACAAGGCAGCTACTAATAATGATTTTGTTTTTAAAGTAATTTACAAAAATGTTTGTTAACTTAGTTGTCTTAAACAATTCCATAAATATTTGTCTTATAAAAATGAACAGATATTTCACATAGGTCAATGTCATACCAACCATATTTTGCATTACATACTACCCAATTTATAACTCAAGACAAATGAAAGTGTAAGATTATAAGAACATTTAAGGTGCCAACTCTAGAATATTTGATATTTACCCTTTTTTGAGTGTCAAAAACACCAATCCTGGACTTCATTTCGGTCATTTGTGGAACTCGAAAAGTATAGATAATCAGTTTCCAATTAATCTTATTAAAACTGTAATAAAACTGATTTATGTCCATGAAACAGGGAATATTAATGGTATTCATTAATCATTACATTTTTGTGTTTTAAGTATTATTCAATATAATAGAACATGTATAAGACAGACAACTTCATTCTTCTGCTTTAAAAAGAAAATTAGGGTGACTTTTTATCTGTCAGCTCATTATTGGCTCCTGATTAAAATGTTTCCCTCTTTCACAATCACCTTCAGTTCAATTTTTTGAAAGTGAGATTAGGGAAAGAATTTTGCTAAAAAGAGAATAGACTATATGAGAAAGTAATATTTTACTTCTTATAGGTCGTATCAACTAGCTGAAGCAGCTCTAGACAAATAATAATTATATACAAAAAATAATGAATAAATAGCAACCAGTGGAGAATCACGAGGGCCAGCAGACCTGATTTTTGTTTTGACTGTCATTTTGTCATATTCTCTTACTCCAAAAGCTCAATTAGTACAATTAATTTCACTAATATGTACTGGTGCTTTGTTTTCTCATTAAGGTTCCACAATGTGTGAGGTATAAATGTGTTATCAAAATGCTAGGACTAAAGATAACATGAGTGTTAATTTCAAGTGTTTTTTAAAGCATTATACGAGAATCATCTCTTAACCTATTATAGATACTAATAATGACATTACTTCAAAAGCTACATAAAAGAGGTGGCTGGGCTTACAAGTGTTATAACATCATCATTAAAATGTGTCTTTGTTTGCCTCATTCTCTCATTTCTTCTTTCTGTATTTTTTTTCCCTTCAAAGCTCTTCAAAGGCAAGTTCTACTACTGTGTGGGTTTTGATGTGAAGAACATCACTAATAAATCGGACTGCCTTGCTGCCAACTACCGATGGGTTCATCATAAATACAACTTTGACAACCTTGGACAGGTACAAGCCAAAACCGCTGTTATGTCTGCATTATTTGGGTCCTAATTGCATTGTGCTGCTCACAGAGTCCCTTTCAAAGCTTGGTAGATAATTAGAAAAGTGTAACCCTGAAGAACAAAGTTACTAAATTTGCATACTGAGCATATTTGTTGTGGGAACTTAAAAAAAAAAAAAAAAAAAACCCACCGGTTTTTAAAAAAGGAGCATTTTTAAAAAAAAAAAAAAAAAAAAAATATATATATATATATATATATATATATATATATATATATATATATATATATATATATATATATATATATAT